GATAAATAAATTCAGAACAGACCAGGAACTAAGCCTGGACCATTCCTCATCCACTTGTTTTAGCTACTCATTAGATAATTTGGTTGAAGTTTCACATTGAATATAATCAAAAATTCACTTGCTGCACCCATAGTTTATGACTGCATTGCCTTAAAGAAATTATTCTGTAGGCTTTGTTGCTTATTAATTCTTTGCTGTCCTACTGATCTTTTGCCACTCATGGGTGGGCAAGAAGTTGAATACATTTTTGTTATTCTTTTATATAAATGATGCAGGTAGAGAAAGTGAATCTTCCATTCAGTAACTCAATTCAGCTGCTTTAGTAGATAATGCAAATAAGTTAATAATTGCTCAATGTCTTAGTCTAATTTTTCCCTGTGTGACAAACATAAGCATTTTTGGCTGAGGTGACAGTAGTAGCAGTACCATTACCTTCACTAACTCAGGATTGGGAATGAGGGACCGGGTCATCCTGCTGTGTAGGTAACCATCCAGTGGCTCCTGCTGAAACAATCAGGCTAAACTTTGATACTCCTTCAAGTTGACAACCTTCCTGGCATTCAGCACTAAGTCCTAATGCAAAGGTGACACTTGGGAAAAATAGCAAAGCATTGCTCCCTGCATCAGATTCAGTATGAGGCACTTCAAAGACGAAGGGAAGGATGGAGGGCAAGGGACTAAAGAAAAAGCAATAAAAAATGAAATACAGTACAAATATGCTTATAGAATCCCTAAAATTGAATTTGATAGTTATTCTTCATTTGAAAAGCCATGTATGGGGCATGTTATCTACTGTACCTCAGGAATACATTCTTGAAACACTTTGTATTATCAACCAATCCTCAGTGCACAAAACTGTTTTGTGAACAGCTACTAGCTTATAATCTATGGGAGCATGAAACAAGCTGTCCATCTTTACTAGCCATAAATCTGACATTACCATAGAATTAAATATTTATTCCATTACAACTCTAAAGCAATTACTTACATTTAATGTTATGCAGCTCCATCTCATACACTCATATATACATGAGAGATGAGTATGTAGGTCATATCAAGAGCACTAGAAATAGGTGCAAAGGTAGACCCCATGGCGCATTGAGCCTGCTCTGTTATTCAATACATTTACAGTCAGTCAATCTTGGACCATTCAATTATACTTTCCTGCCCCTCACTATATCTCTCAATTCTTTGAGAAACCAAACTTCTATCTATCACAGCCCAAAATGTAGTCAACGATGGAGCATCTACAACCCTGTGGAGTACAGATTTCAAAGATCCTCACTCCTTTGAATGAAGCAATTTCTCTTCATCTCATTGCCAAATGATCATCCCCTTCTCCTGAGACTGTGCCCCCCACAGTTTAGAATCCCTGAATAGCAGAAACAATCTTTCAGCATCTACCCTATCAAGCTTCTTCAATATCTTGTACACGTCAATGAGATTGTTTCTCATTCCTCTAAACTCCAGAGAAAATACATTTTGCTTATACTCATCATAGGACAATCCTTTCATTCGAGGGACCAATTCAATGAATTCAGCCTCTGTTGTAGACATTTTTAATCGTTCAGATATGCTATGACACACCTCTGAAGCATTTGGGACTTGAACCTGCACCTCCTGGTTCAGAAGTAGGTGTACTACCATCGCACGACTACAGTGCTCACACATCCATTTTATATCGATCTGAAATGGTTTGAAAGGGCTAATAATAAGCACCACCCACTATGATGATGTAAAAGGTCCTGTGTGGAGAACAACTTAGGATCACAAAGGAGGAAGCCTAATATCTGGTCCTGCTCTCAGTCTCGTAACAATGACTGTCTTATCAATGTAACCTAGAACTAGTTCCAATCATGCAATAAACTATGAGATAGTAGGAACTGCTGATTCTGGAGTCAGAGATAACGCAGTGTAGAGCTGGAGGAACACAGCAGGCCAGGCAGCATCAGAGGAACAGGAAAGTTGACGTTTCAGGTCTGGACCCTTCTTTAGAAAAACCGAAACGTCAACTTTCCTGCTCCTCTGATGCTGCCTGGCCTGCTGTATTCCTCCAGCTCAACACTGTGTTATATATGCACTAAACTATAAGTTGTTCCAGGAAGTGGTTTTCTTCTACTACATTAGACCAAGCAAGCCCTGTCGTTTCCTACATTTAACAATGATGGTGGCAGCAAACTTTACCATGACCAACAACTCCTACAAGGTAATGAGCATATAACAGCCTTTAATGCAAGTATGTTTTTGCTTAAATGCAGAGTTCAAAACTGAAATAACTCCATACAGGCTAGTAGCCTGCCACCAAGTCACCCTTTATTTACCTGTGGAGTGTCCTTGACACTGATCCAACTCCCTCGGAGCCAGCTCTCAGAATGAACAGGATGTATGACAAGAGATAGCAGGAACTGCAGATGCTGGAGAATCTGAGATAACAAGGTGCAGAGCTGGATGAACACAGCAGGCCAAGCAGCATCAGAGGAGCAGGAAGGCTGATGTTTCGGGCCTAGACTCT